ACAACACGACTCTCATGCAAAATGATCTGAATGCTCTCTTAAAGTGGTCAAATTTGTGGATGATGCCTTTCAACAAGGACAAGTGTACCGTACTGCACATAGGAAGCACGAATTGCGGATTCTCATACACTCTGGGCGATTTTCCCCTAGCCAGTGCAAGAGTGGAGAAAGACCTTGGTGTCCACGTGGACGACGCTCTAAAGTTTCGTGAACACGCAGCGTAAGCAGTGGCGAAGGCTACGCAGCTCCTCGCCGTAATCAAGAAGTCGTTTTCCCTCATCAACGAAGTCACGCTGCCCATTCTTTTCAAAACCCTGGTTCGCCCACACTTTGAATACGGGAACCTTGTATGGGGTCCATTTTACAGAGCGGATCAGCGACAGGTCGAAAGAGTTCAGCGCAGGGCAACCCGGCTGGTAGAGAGCATCCGCCACAAACCCTACACGGAGCGACTCAAAGAACTGAAGATGCCATCACTGCATTATAGACGACTGAGAGGTGATATGATCTTCACATACCAACTATTTCACAGAGGGGTCGATGCCGACCGACCCCAGGTCATTCTTCGCTCTGGCTGGAGGAGTTACTCGGGGACATCAGTTTAAAATCCAGAAGTTTTCAGCAGCCTCGAGGGTGAGGCCTTTGCCGCCCAAGTCGTGAACGACTGGAATGGACTCCCCTCCGAGGTGGTTGGTGGCTGGTGCACCCTCGCTGAACTGCTTCAAGGCAAGACTGAACGCACACTGGTCCCACATCATATACTCCGTACCTGATCCTGATTGATCTCGTAAAGCCACAATCCCAGGAGCTCGATAAGATCGGGTACCACAGGCCATTATGCCTAAAAATCCCGAAACCTTAAGGTAAAACCACAATGCTTGAGGGTGTTTTCGATTAAAAGAATAGCATTTCAATTATCTCCTACTGCATGCCATGGTTTTTGTTACACATAAGAAGAAAACAAATGACATTTGTGGCCAAAAACATCCCCCTTCCCTGCCGGCTCGAATTAATGTATTGCATACACATTAAACAATATAAAGCCCTCTTGTCATTGCGTGGCAAGTATTCTTTTTTCTACAAAATCGAGAATAACTCGAAGACTGTCATGGGTCACCACCTACATTTTTCTGTTTTCACCCAGTTTTGAAGTTCGTTCAGGTACACTGCAGCACCATAAGCTGTAATTTTGATTTATGTAAATTTGATTGCGGTTTTATTCACCTGCAATAAAAAACTAGCAGGTGTGGCCAACAACGCCCAAGGTTGAAGGTAAAAAACGGCCGACAAGATTTTTGACCCACTTTTGAATGCCACTCTATGTAGCTTACCGCTTAACTAATTAAAACAAGGATTGCAGAGCTCTATTCATACATTTCAGCATCCTCTTCAACAAATCAACAATATTATCAGTCGGGCACACTGTAGTATTTCCGATCCATTTATGGAAACGTTTCCATTTTTGGAGCAATGTTCCAAAAATGGATACGCCGTTTCCAAAAATAGAAACGGTCTGTTCCATAAATGGAGACGCTGCGTGCATCGCTACCTTTAAAGCAAACTGGGCATTGATTGCTGCAATTTGGCATGCGCAGGATGCCACCAATCGACAGCCATCATTCTAGTTTATATTCCTCTTCTCCGAATTTCCGATCAGAAACCGAAAGTCGACAAACGAGGCAATGCTTATAACATGTTGACGTGATAAAAAAAAAAATTCACAAGTTTTTCTAATCAAATAAGGTCTGCACCGTCGTCACACCAAATACCGTCGTATTCTGACGATGAATTTATTCATTCTAGCTCATTTGTAACATTGATATCAATTTTATATATTGAAATGATATCTACGCTTTATGTAGGTACTGCCCACTTTGGAGTTTGGACCACATTTGTCCAGTAGTTTCCAGGAAATCTTAGTTTTAGTTGACTTTTGAATGTGCTAAGTTGCGGCGCGTATATTAGTATCAAACCCGACGTCCAAGGTAACTGCCGAGAGCCAAGATGCTAAACCAGTCCCAAATCATCAATTTTTAGTTGCAAGTGAATTTTAAAAAACACATTTAAAGGTACTATCCCACCTTTAACATGGGGTTTGAGTTGAGATAGCCAAGTTTGCGGCGAGGTTCAGAAACCACTATCTATCTAGGTTGCAACCCCCGCGGCCTCTTGGTGTTGAAGAAATTTGTTCCCTTCATTTGAAAATGGACCTTGCGCCAGGCCCTATCTTCAACATGGAGCGACCGTTAGTTTAACGTCACCTCGTTTAGTCATTCTGATTTAAATGGGTTTGTTTGTTGAAAAATCGCTTAAAACTTGGTCTGAACTTCGTTGTAGTGCCTACAGAGTAAAAAGAATCAGCTTTATGACAGTAATGTGGCCTGGGGAAGGAGGTAATTTTGGGCTGTGACGTCACATATCCAATCTATAAAGTCGGCCACAATTTAACTGGGATAGTTCCTTTAAGCTAAATTTGCACACATTTGAACTTCAGCATTTCTATTTTTGGAACATCAGCGCTTCCATTTTTGGAAAATAAGTCTCCATAAATGGATACGATTCAGGAGCATTTTTAAGTGGTGAATTTGAATGCATACGACAGCTTTCCATGCAAGAAGACAAGTGCTTTTGGTGTATCCGTGCTTGTTTTACGCAAAACAGTGGTTATACCTACATCAAATCCAGCCACCCTTGGCAAGAAAATTTGTGCGGAAATGTTAGCATTTCTATTTATGGAACAAGCGTTTCCATTTTTGGAACAGAAGAGTAGTCAAAATTGGAAACGTTTCCAATAAAAGAAATGTCTCCATAAATGAATCAAAGATACCACAGTGCGCCGGACTATTATCAGCATTAATTGAGCTATTAGGGGTGGCATATGTCGATATCACATAAGACACCAAAATGCAAATTACTCTGCAAGGAAGTATCCATAGCTCCATAGCAACCACCTAGCAACGTGAATCAAAGCTGTAAACAACTCGCGTTTGTCTCAGATGCGCATTTTTCGGAGCATATAACCAGAATCTGTTATCCTCGGCGTCATAAGTTGCAAAACAGAGTGACCATTTGACTATCAATAAGGACGATTTTTGCGAAATTCATGTTTCTTGCCTAACTACCTTTCGAAAAAGTTAACAGACGCTAAACAAATTAGTCGAGCCGACGAAGATGGTCGAGCGTGGGGCAGGGCAGCGTCAAACTCACCGTGTCTGTTCTTCCCGAGTCTTCAAAGTCTTCTAGCGAAACCAAGCACAGAAAACTCACAAGTTTCAATGAAATTAGACAGCAACAATGTCTAACGAAACTTTAAAATAATATCTTTTAACTTCTCTTACAATTGACACCTCAATCAACAGCCGGATCCGTCAATGGTCCCGACCAACCGACGACAAGATTCCTATAGGTTCCTAAAGATAAGGTTGGGCCAGGCAGTCACGTGACAGTTTCTGCTTGGTGTTTGAGTTGTGCCATCGTGGTTTATCGATATCTTTAAACAATACTTAGACAAAATGTAGCTGAATATGTTAACATATATTTTGAAAAAAAAAATAATTTTATTTAATAAACAGAAATAAGCAAAAAACAAAAGTTTTGGCCTAAGCGTAAAACTCTTATTTATGTAATACTCTTGACATTGCTTTGCATTGAAGATTCAGGCTAGAAAATTTTTCATACCCATTATAGGTATAATACAATTTATGCAATACTCATTTCTATGCTAAGATTGCTCTAGCGTATCCGGCAAATAAAATGGGCATAGGTATAAATACGCATAAAAAATAAGTTAACATAGACTTGGGTATAACCACGGATCACATACTGCCCGGGCCTATAAGGTGTCACATAAGGTGATCCGTGGTATAACTAATGGTCAGAAGAGGGCAAGCAGCGCGCTTGGGATGAGGCGTTCTCTAAGACGTCCCAGCAGCGTCTGCTGGATGGGGCAAACCAGGTGGTCCGGGTGCGTCTTCTTGCTGCCGCAGAGCCCCACACCGCCGCCTGGGTGCAAGCCCTCCCAGTCACCAGTCTGGGACTCCACCTGGAGGACGAAACCGTCCGGGTAGCAGTGGCGCTGCGACTCGGGGCACCGGTATGTGAACCGCCCAACTGCCAGCTCTGCCGTCGTCCTGCTGATCGACTGGGCTACCACGGTCTCTCCTGTGCCAAGAGTGCTGGCCGCCACGCACGTCACGCCAACCTTAATGACGTGCTGCGGCGGGCACTCAGCAGCACAGGGCTCGAGAGTGTTTTAGAGCCCACCGGCCTTGACAGAGGTGACGGCCGACGTCCCAATGGGATAACGCTCTTCCCTTTCAGCCGAGGAATGAGCCTGATATGGGACGCCACCTGCTGCGACACCTTCTCTGCAACTGCTGTCATCAGCTCTGCCTTGAGTCCTGGTAGCGCCGCTAGATGTGTGAAGAAATAGACATCTGACAATTGGCTGACTTCCCTGCCTCCCGGCCGCTACTCAGGTCCACCACTCGCCGTTGTCAGTGCACGGGTTTCTAGCAAGCTCCAGCCTAGTATTGATCTTATTCAGTATTTACGGTACGAAGATTTGATAACGGAATGTGACGTTTCCACATCATGCTTGATGGTTGAAGTTTGCAACGTTAACAACTACCAAGTCAAGTCGCAGCCCCAGTCATCTGGCACGTCTCTGTCATCGAATAAAGCCAATGAACAAGAAAGTTATTATTTTCCAGCATAAATGAAAATATATAACACTGCTACAGGCGGTACGCGGATGTCATGCACCTTACACACAACGATTCAATCGAATAAAAACTGGATTAACCATAAATAATAACAGTACAGCACTGGATTAACCATAAATAATAACAGTACAGCACCAAACACTTGAGATGCACATTATAGTACTTTAGAATTTAGATGCACAGAGGAGTAATGAGACTAAAAGTTTTAGCACGCCCTATCTTAAAAAATATTGAACGAGATATTTCCACAGTGCAAAAACAAAACCGAAATCCGACAAAAAAACGATTCCAGGTTCAATGTCCACAGATTTAAAAACAAAACTTTCAAGTGCCCCCAATGTAAAAAAAAATGACCAAAGACGGAATTGTAACAAAGAATAAATAAAGATATGTGCGGCAAACGAAGAGCGGCACTGGACGAGCGTCTGCTCAAAGTAGGCGCCCAGAGTTACTCCTTAGCCCAGCGGGCAGCAGCAAATGAATTACAGCCAAAGGAAGAATATGCATTAGTCTATTAAGGCTCATCGCACCATGACGAGGCACAGCTCGGATAACGCGATTCGCCTGCGTCCTCCAGGCGAGAAGCACCTCGAGTAGGCTGCCGTGTCTTGACCAACTGCCGCATCCGTCGTCCGCGCCGCAGGCCTCCCAGCGGCCATGTTCCAACGGAGCCGTGAGCTTCACCGTCTCCCGCTCCGCCTCTACAAGGTGGATGGAGGCCTGGCCGGACGGGTGGCACAAGGACATCTGGAGCTCCTGCTGCCGGGCCCGGTGGAAGGAGTAGATCGCCGCTCCGCGGTCGACATCCACCAGCTCCGAGCCGGCCACCAGTCCAGCTCGGAGTAGTGCCTCCATCGCATCGGCCGTCGACCGGCGTGGGGCCCGGATGTGACTAGTGCAGCTCCGTGGGGTGCCCTGCCGCGCTCTGCCGAGTGTGCAGAGAGCAGGTAGACTGGTGGCGGTGAAGGAAACAAGCTGTTACCTTCTTTTGGGATCTGTAAAGAAGCATTCCACTAAAAACTACAACCAAAACGTTTTCCATATTTTTTACAGAACACAATGCAGTAGCCCAAATAGATATGAAGTATGTGAAGACAACAGTCTACTGCCATTAGATAACTGATCCTGATGGACAAATACTTTAGATACTAGTATATCATAAGGTGGTTCAAAGGCACACTTTGCAGCTCCAGTAAAAAATCACTGTTTTTCATACTTCATACTGTAAGGGGAAAGGGTGGGGTGGGGATGCAGCCAAGAGTGCATCATATAGGGTTGTAGTCTCCCCGCCGTATACGGAGGGGAGACCCATACCAGAACGTAGATTGTGAAACAATGTAAGTGTCTGCCAATATTACCTTTTCCAGAAGAGTTGAAAAACAGCAATGGGTCAGCTCTTGTGATAAGCACCATGCAGTGTTGGCTGCACTTCAATCTTGTCTCCTGTAAAAAAAAAAAACAGTATCACTGTATGATTGACAGTTTGATTGCATTTCCTTCAAGCTGCAACATCTCCATTTTAGACATTTTCAGTTCCCACTTGCGCACGGCACCCTACTAACCGGTCTCTAGCGATGTGCCAAATCTGAGCACAATCGGCCCGGCCGTTCTCGAGATCTAGAAGCGTCACCCTGCACATGTGCACGTGCAGTTGCACCCCAACCGTGACACATTTAAACACATTGCCCGGTGGGTGCCTACATCCTTTTTATAATGTAGTTATTGTCATTACAATCAAGTTGTACCGTGCTATTGTCATTACAACAAAAGTGACACCTCTCTGTTTTACACGTGTCACGTGCAGTGGGGGTTACCCGCATGCATTGTCCATAGTAAAATACTTCTAAGAAGGGCACACACTACCCCACACAAAAAACCGCAAGTGTAACGGTCCAGTGGCTGCGGAGATATAAGTCGTACAAAAACGTCCCTACAGCGGCCGGCCGCTAATATTTAGCATTAAATTCGTGTCTCATCCTTCTATGGGAGGTATCCCCGTCACCTGTTCGTATACTGTCTGAGCGAAGGCCATATATGGGTGTGAGCTCAAATCTCGGTAATGTCGTGCTTTTATACTAAATTTCTCGAAAACGGCACGGTGACTGGCCATGTCATGTCCGGCCGCCACCCAGCCGCCCGCCGCGCCTGGCCGGGCTGCTGCTTCGCCGGCCGGGTGGCGCGGGCGGCCCTCCTGGCTCCCGCCCGTCTGGGATGCGCTCCCCATCCGCAGGGCGTCGGCGGCGCCCAAGAGGCACAAGAATAACGGCGGTGTTGCGGGCGGCTTGTGGGGTTACGGTGCCGCGCTCCTTCCCCGGCCCCTCGCCGTCCGTCCCCCCTCCCCGGTGCCGTTTTCTTCCAGGGGAGGCGCCCCGGCCGCCGTGCTGGGGCGTAACGCAGTCCGTGCTTTTAGCACAGCAAAATATCCACCCAGGCTAGATTAAAGTCACAACAACCTAGGATTAAGAGTGGCTACAGACTTCAGACTTTATGCAGACTTAACATTGAGGTATTATATGTGCAACTAAATGACACACATGGTGTTTGTTCTAACCTTCTCAACAGAAAGTGGACGTGTCAGGACAGCACCCCTTGGTGACCATTATACTCAAGGGGTGTAGGAACTGATTCCCCAGGGGTGAAGCGATAGAAGCAAAAACATGAGTCACTAGTTCCCTCCTGTGTCTTCCCTCCAGCAGGGAAAAATATATGCGTGATGCCCAATGTGACTGATAACTGCATATCATAAAGCTGGAAATATTGTACAAAGTTGTGACAACACAAGCAAACTATGCATGTCACTGCTCTTGTTATTGCTATATGAGACCCCACAAGACACAAAAATATGCATGGTAAAAAGGGGCAACAATACATATACAATACATTCAAATGTAGCTTGTCAAAAAAATGATTATGAATTTCACTACATCAAAAGTGAATGAAATTAAGTGATAATCAAAGACTCTGGAAAAGAAGATCAGCATAACTACATATGTCTTGTTTCCAAAGCTAAAGTATGATCCTCAATGTTGCAAAAGTTGCTTGGCTTTTACAATAATGAACAATACAATAACTTTGAATAAAAAACAACATATGGTAAACACACTTCAAGGACATCCCAAGATCCATCCAACAATTGACATGCCTGTTTGGAATGCTGTTAAACATGCTATGATCTTCACAGAATAGGTAAAATCAACTCAAAATATTACCTTCTTTTATTACAAATAAAATCTTCCCATGAAATTCATTATTGTCACTGCAGAGCTTATTCAGTCAATTAGAGACTGTGCAGAGACTTCATCATTCAAACAATCAGAGAATCAATGTGCAGAGACTAACACTTTACAATCTAGTGACTTATCACAAACATCTTTTATGCTACAAGCTTATGCTTACTCAACACTTTTTCATGACTCAAATATGGTGGTGTTCATTTATTGTCACTGCAGAGCTTATTCAGTCAATTAGAGACTGTGCAGAGACTTCATCATTCAAACAATCAGAGAATCAATGTGCAGAGACTAACACTTTACAATCTAGTGACTTATCACAAACATCTTTTATGCTACAAGCTTATGCTTACTTTTATGCTACAAGCTTATGCTTACTCAACACTTTTTCATGACTCAAATATGGTGGTGTTCATTTATTGTCACTGCAGAGCTTATTCAGTCAATTAGAGACTGTGCAGAGACTTCATCATTCAAACAATCAGAGAATCAATGTGCAGAGACTAACACTTTACAATCTAGTGACTTATCACAAACATCTTTTATGCTACAAGCTTAAATATGCATGGTAAAAAGGGGCAACAATACATATACAATACATTCAAATGTAGCTTGTCAAAAAAATGATTATGAATTTCACTACATCAAAAGTGAATGAAATTAAGTGATAATCAAAGACTCTGGAAAAGAAGATCAGCATAACTACATATGTCTTGTTTCCAAAGCTAAAGTATGATCCTCAATGTTGCAAAAGTTGCTTGGCTTTTACAATAATGAACAATACAATAACTTTGAATAAAAAACAACATATGGTAAACACACTTCAAGGACATCCCAAGATCCATCCAACAATTGACATGCCTGTTTGGAATGCTGTTAAACATGCTATGATCTTCACAGAATAGGTAAAATCAACTCAAAATATTACCTTCTTTTATTACAAATAAAATCTTCCCATGAAATTCATTATTGTCACTGCAGAGCTTATTCAGTCAATTAGAGACTGTGCAGAGACTTCATCATTCAAACAATCAGAGAATCAATGTGCAGAGACTAACACTTTACAATCTAGTGACTTATCACAAACATCTTTTATGCTACAAGCTTATGCTTATTCAACACTTTTTCATGACTCAAATATGGTGGTGTTCATTTATTGTCACTGCAGAGCTTATTCAGTCAATTAGAGACTGTGCAGAGACTTCATCATTCAAACAATCAGAGAATCAATGTGCAGAGACTAACACTTTACAATCTAGTGACTTATCACAAACATCTTTTATGCTACAAGCTTATGCTTACTTTTATGCTACAAGCTTATGCTTACTCAACACTTTTTCATGACTCAAATATGGTGGTGTTCATTTATTGTCACTGCAGAGCTTATTCAGTCAATTAGAGACTGTGCAGAGACTTCATCATTCAAACAATCAGAGAATCAATGTGCAGAGACTAACACTTTACAATCTAGTGACTTATCACAAACATCTTTTATGCTACAAGCTTATGCTTACTCAACACTTTTTCATGACTCAAATATGGTGGTGTTCATTTAAAGTGAAAACACTCATCCAGCACTAAGCAGATTATTTCTAAGCTCGTTTAAGTCCCAATTTCTGCTATATTTCGCTTGGAGTCACTTCATAGTTTGAACTCAAGGTGCCTTGTGGATTTACCTCAGGTATGTAGGTAAATCCACAAGGATTTATGGACTTTACCTCAGTTATGTAGCTGCTCCCTCAATTTAAGTTTCTCGTTAAATTTCATTGAGGCGTTGCAAGATGGGCTGTAGCCGAATTCTCTTCCCTGTTTAGTATGCTTACTCAACACTTTTTCATGACTCAAATATGGTGGTGTTCATTTAAATCTTTTATGCTACAAGCTTATGCTTACTCAACACTTTTTCATGACTCAAATATGGTGGTGTTCATTTAAAGTGAAAACACTCATCCAGCACTAAGCAGATTATTTCTAAGCTCGTTTAAGTCCCAATTTCTGCTATATTTCGCTTGGAGTCACTTCATAGTTTGAACTCAAGGTGCCTTGTGGATTTACCTCAGGTATGTAGGTAAATCCACAAGGATTTATGGACTTTACCTCAGTTATGTAGCTGCTCCCTCAATTTAAGTTTCTCGTTAAATTTCATTGAGGCGTTGCAAGATGGGCTGTAGCCGAATTCTCTTCCCTGTTTAGTATGCTTACTCAACACTTTTTCATGACTCAAATATGGTGGTGTTCATTTAAAGTGAAAACACTCATCCAGCACTAAGCAGATTATTTCTAAGCTCGTTTAAGTCCCAATTTCTGCTATATTTCGCTTGGAGTCACTTCATAGTTTGAACTCAAGGTGCCTTGTGGATTTACCTCAGGTATGTAGGTAAATCCACAAGGATTTATGGACTTTACCTCAGTTATGTAGCTGCTCCCTCAATTTAAGTTTCTCGTTAAATTTCATTGAGGCGTTGCAAGATGGGCTGTAGCCGAATTCTCTTCCCTGTTTAGCTGATGCTCATAATACCTGAACATTTTTAATTCCAATTTTTGTAGCTGTTAACAATTGGTAAAGGCCCATGTACCTAGACAACAATGACTTTACAGAGGAAACCCCTGGCTGTGTTTCATGGGCGCGCTGCCAGCCGCTGCCAGCGCATTCCGCGAGCTAGTGTCAACCTCAGGTAGTGTTGGAGGTATAGGCTTGTTGATGTCTCTATGGAAGCCAAAAGCGGCTGGCAGAGTGCCGCAATACACCACCCTTATTTTTGCACAATAATGCTGTGATAACTGTTCCTGCAAAAAATATAAGGTGAAGTGAAGTAAAATCAGGTCAAACATTAATATATACCCAAAAATAGCAGTGTATGGAGTACCTATATTCACATTACCAATAATATGATGCACAACAGGCCATAGAAAACCATATGGTGGTGTTCATTTAAAGTGAAAACACTCATCCAGCACTAAGCAGATTATTTCTAAGCTCGTTTAAGTCCCAATTTCTGCTATATTTCGCTTGGAGTCACTTCATAGTTTGAACTCAAGGTGCCTTGTGGATTTACCTCAGGTATGTAGGTAAATCCACAAGGATTTATGGACTTTACCTCAGTTATGTAGCTGCTCCCTCAATTTAAGTTTCTCGTTAAATTTCATTGAGGCGTTGCAAGATGGGCTGTAGCCGAATTCTCTTCCCTGTTTAGCTGATGCTCATAATACCTGAACATTTTTAATTCCAATTTTTGTAGCTGTTAACAATTGGTAAAGGCCCATGTACCTAGACAACAATGACTTTACAGAGGAAACCCCTGGCTGTGTTTCATGGGCGCGCTGCCAGCCGCTGCCAGCGCATTCCGCGAGCTAGTGTCAACCTCAGGTAGTGTTGGAGGTATAGGCTTGTTGATGTCTCTATGGAAGCCAAAAGCGGCTGGCAGAGTGCCGCAATACACCACCCTTATTTTTGCACAATAATGCTGTGATAACTGTTCCTGCAAAAAATATAAGGTGAAGTGAAGTAAAATCAGGTCAAACATTAATATATACCCAAAAATAGCAGTGTATGGAGTACCTATATTCACATTACCAATAATATGATGCACAACAGGCCATAGAAAACCAGTGAATGTTGAATTGTACCCCAATTTCAATATCAATATGGCACTTGGCAATAACAGTAAAACACACCATTTTTTATGTTAAATCAACAGAGAAAACTCCTGAACATAAAAAATGATCAGAATGTATAATCAGGATAATAGTATAAATAAAAATCGACGACATCAGCGCCTATCACCGCCCTTGCACATTCACCACTCCCCATTCCACGCACAGATTGTTTACCCCCTTGGTTTACCCCGTGTTCGCAGTCTCCTTGACGACGGAGATTCTATACGCCCACTGACCAATCACGTTCAAGATCAGCGGGGCTCGGCCGCAGTTCTCGAACGCTATTGGCCAGATTAAGCAGGACCTTCGTCGTCAGGAAAACTGTGAACACGGTGTTACATATTTCGCTATGGTAACAAAAGCGCCAGAATTGACTACCAGAATTGGATCCGAAGGTCAAATGGGTCACGTGACTGACAAGTTCAGATGGACAACACCTGGAAAACGGCACAACGTGCAATAACGTTCTATATATCATTGGAAAGAGCATCAAAAGTTGTATAACCTATCAACTTTTCACTTAAATATATCTATAACGTAAAAAGTTATAAAGCAGCAAAGACGCTCCCGTTGACTTTGCATGTTAAAAAAATTCTTCTTTAAACGAGCTCAAAAAGAACAAACGAATTCTGACAGCTTAACGAAGCATAACAACATGTTCTATGGTCTTTTCTCAACAAGTCCTGAAAGTTTAAACAAAATCGTATCATATGATTTTGTGCAATGAGCGAATGAAAATGCCTCTGCAAAAACGCCCATTGACTTAACATGGGGAGCGAAAAAAGTTCAACTTTAAACTCGTGCAACTCAAGTTAACGAATTCTGACGGGTATACGGTGCACACTGGCGTGTAGCAGAACGTGTTTGGCATAAAATGCTGGGAAGAAAACCACCTCCTTCTTGGCTCGTTTTCCCGCCATTGGCGATCGCGCAAAAAGTGTCCAAAACCCCATTGACTTAACATGGGGAAAATGCAATTGCACGTGGCACGCGCAATGATTTTTGTTGCGAGTAGCGACCGGTACCATCAGGTAGATCACCTGCAAAAGTCTATACCCTGAAATTTTTACGATCCTAAACGCAAAACTCTAGGCCCCAATCAAGTTGCCCCAATTCGCGGCCAGACTTGCAAAACATAGCCCGGAGAACGACCGCTCCGGTTGTTTTTCAATAGAAAAACACAATTCTAACGAATAGTGTTTGTCTTTTCAAACAACCTGCGGTTACACCCTGCACGTGCGCACGTGCAAGCTGTGTCCAATTGCATTGTGCATGGGACGCTATTCGCCGGTGTCTAGCGGTGTACCAAATTCGAGCTCAATCGGCCCAGCCGTTTTCAAGATCTTGAAACGACCCCTCCACGTGCGCACGTGCAGTTGCATCTAAACCGTGACACATGGAATTACATACTAACTGACTTGTGCACGGCACCCTACTGATCGATCTCTAGATGTTTGCCGAATTTGAGTGCAATCGGTCCAGCCGTTCTTGAGATCTGGAAGCGTCACCCTGCACGTGCGCACGTGCAAGATGGGTCCAAACTGACTTGCGCACGGCACCCTACTAATCGGTCTCTAGCGGTGTACCAAATTTGAACTCAATCGGCCCGGCCGTTCTCGAGATCTGGAAGCGTCACCCTGCACGTGCGCACGTGCAGTTGCACCCCAATCGTGGCACATGGAAATACATACTAAATGACTGCAACCTACTGATCGGTATCAAGCGTTATGCCAAATTTGAACACAATCGGTCCAGCCGTTCTCGAGATCTGGAAGCGTCGCCCTGCACGTGCGCACGTGCAGTTGCACCCCTACCAAGACACATGGAAATGCATCGCCTGGAAAGTGTCTACCTCCATGCCAAGTTTTAGCGCAATCGGCCCAGTAATTACTGCGAGCTATTGCGCTTATTACAAAACAGGCACCTCTTGGCTTTGCACGTGGAACGTGCGTTAGGGGTCACCCATATGCATCGAGAGTAGCACACTATGTGAAAGAAGGGAAAAAGCTACCCCACACAAAAAACCGCACGTGTATCAGCCCAGTGGTTGCCGAGATATAAGTCGTACAAAAACGTCCCCACGGCGGCCGGCCGCTATTTAGCAGTAAAATCGTGTCGCATCCTTCTATGGGAGGTATTCCCGTCACCTGTTCGTATACTGTCTGAGCAAAGGCCATACGTTACGGTCCAAATTCCATAGTGAGGCGGACATACGAATTTACGAGAGTTTAGCGACGAAATGATTCACTTAATTGTTAAGTAATGGGTATCATTAGGTAGACCATAAATTTTATCTAGCATCTCACCGTAGATGAGATGCTTTTTTGAGCGGGAAAAACTTCGGTGTGATTGGAATCATGTGTTCTCAGTGTTCTACTACTTGCCCTGCATCTGCATTGAAGTCACCAGACCTGTGAGTGAACTGATCTGGATATTATTCATTGTTTAAAATTTTTGGTACCCGTCACCCGTGCTGCTGTCGTGAAGCCACCAGAAAATTCATCGTAGAGACGCAATCATTGTCAGTTGAAGATTGATGCATTTTTGAAAGACGCATCCAACGGTGTTATTTTTATGCGTCTATCTGCTCTCGCTTGCAAGAAAATCGCCAATATCTGCAGGACTATTTCCTTTCCGACGCGGATGCTTTCAACGACTTCTCCGCCCTCTGCCAACCGCCCTCGGTTGTCATGGCGACCAACCCCTACCGGGACCGGCCGGCGCCTGAGACGCCGGTAGCCGGCTAAACGAACAATGCCGGCCGACCCTTCCCCCCTGCCCCGGCGGCCCGCTCGGCGCGGCCGCCGCGCGGGCTGGCGCGCTCGGCGTGCGAGGGGACATGGGAGCAGCGGACAGCTGACTGCTTCCGGCACTGGGGCCCCGAACGGGTCTCGCCGTGTAGAGTGCCAAACACCGGCCAGCGACCACCGACGGGACGATCACACTGCTGAATCTGCCAGACGTGCATACGACCGGGCACATCTGATGGCGGTGCGTGACCGACTAAGCAACGACACCACTCGTGAAGTAGCCGAGACTA